GAGTGTTCAAATAGGAAAAGTGTAAGTTCATATATCAGCTTTTAAAACTGATACAAATTTAAGTGGTCAGGAAGTCATTACGCCTAATTTAAATAATTATTGAAAATTACAGAAGGCATGCTAAATGTGGTGCCTTAAACTTAATAATGCAAAATTGCAAAAATTTAACGTGCACATTAAACCCTCCTCTAATTGCCCTTCCTGAGTCGAGGGTCTATTGGAAACAACCTCTTTACCTGCATTAGGTAGGGGTAATTCTGCGTACAGACTACGCTCCCCAGACCTTACATGTTGGGATCGTTATTGGACATTAAACCCTCCCTTTTTGTGTAATTAAACAAGAAATGCTACAACAAGAGGAAGTTTTAAGAGCAATAAAAGGAAAACAACCATAGTTAGATTTGGTGGGGATGACACCTATATTTAGCAACGACAGTATTGGCACGCAGTTTCGCTTTCTGTTGTTAGTAGGCTTTTATGACTAATCGTTATTTTCTTTAATTGTTGATCACCTTACTGTCTTGTTATTTCTATTATGCTTTTATATGACTTTTTGATATTGTCCCTTCTTGTTTATATTTTCATTAATGTGGTGCTTATGTTTTCCTAAGTCGAGGGTCTATTGGAAACAACCTCTCTTGCCTCACAAGGTAGGGGTAAGGTCTACGTGCACACTATGCTCCCCAGACCCTACGTGTGGGATAATACCGGATATATTGTTATTGTTGTTGTTGTGACACCTATATTTAGCTTTATATCTTTTCGTCATAATCGTGATATCTGGACTAGCTTATGCATAACTCAATTAATTTATAGGATACTTCTTTCCACCATTATAGATATCTAGTAACTTTATCCACCAAGAGTTGGACACAGTGGTGGCCCCAGAATATGAAAGTCAGATGAGCACTTTTGTATTCAACCAAAATCTACCTCAGTATTTTTTAAAAACATATACATGTATTTATGAAAATTTTGTCGAACATTCCGAGTGCCGATGAACCCTCTCTTAATAACATCGGTCCGTCTTTATTTAGACAGATGAGAAAAAATTATCTAGTATTTTTACCTTTACTCTAAAATCCCATGATTATCAACCCATTCATCAAGAAGCATAAAACAAACTTAATCTAAAATAAAAAATGGGGATAGATATTATCCTCCTAGCTTAACTCACTGGGATTTTCTTTTTCCAAGTGTCCCTAAATAAATATTAAACTAGAAAATGCCAATTTGATTATTGAATATTTTACCAGTAGATAATTTTTTAAAATACTTTACATTAAATATTTGGATCATTTCTAAATTAAATAAATTTTAGGATTAAAATAGTAGTAGTAGATAATAGTACTCGTGGTAGATAATTATATCACATCACGAAATTGAAAGTTCTCCAATTTGGATTATTGAATATTTTAATTTAATCACATCAAACGTACTATTGAATCAAGAAATTCAATAGAGTTGGTAATATTAGTATCACCAAACCCATATTAGTATTTGGTACTATAATGTACATTATTATAATCAAGTTCATAGTTAAATATTTCTATTAAACATATAAATAAAAAGAAGAAATGATCGAATTTGCTTTTTAATATCCGCAATTGAATAAATTAGGAGTAAATTAATAAACAAAGTTACCCTATACTTATAGCGATGAAGGGTCGCATCATAATAAATATTCAGTAAAATTAATTTAGATACATACAAGATGACTTGAACATCATAATCATATGATACAAAAGATAAAATTGAACAATTTCAAACAATGAGCCAACCAATTCAAACCTTTTTCAAGAGTGTAAAGAGAGAAATTACAGATATCGGAAAGTACAACAAAAATTTTGGGAAGAAATTAAAAAATAGTTAAATTTATAAGTGGTAATTGAAAGATAGTCACAGTTTCAAAAGTAATCGAACTAATAAAGATAAGTCTTAACAAAAACACTGTTCAAAATCCGAAAAATACTCTAGCATAATATAATGGAGTTCTAGTATAATATACTGGAGTTCTAATATAAAATACGGGTCCAGCATAATATGCTGAAAGTTTATACACAGGTGCCCCAATCTCCAGTATATTATGCTGGAACTTTCCGTGTCTTGGATATTCAGCATAATATGCTGAAAGTTCATACACAAATACACCAATCTCCACTATATTATATTAGAATTTTTTGTGTTGCAGCAAAATAGTGGTTATTTTTCAATAACTATACAAACTCTAGCTATTTTCAGTTACCAGTCCGAAAACTGGCTAGCACGTGCTATTTTCACAAATTTTTTTTGTGTGTGTGTATGATATATAGTTCTGATTGATGAAACGCGAGGCGGCGTTAATGGGAGACTGGAGGTATGGAGGCAAGCCATGGAGTGTAAAGATTTCAAGTTGGGTAGAACTAAGACGGAATATGTGGAATGTAAGTTTAGTGACATACGGGGGGAAACGGACGTGGAAGTCAGGCTTGACTCACAGGTCATCCTCAAGAGAGAAAGTTTTTAAGTACTTAGGGTCAATTATCCAGGGAGATGGGGAGATCGACGGGGATGTTACGCACCGTATTGGGGTGGGGTGGATGAAATAGAGGTTAGCGTCTGGATTCCTGTGTGATAAGAATGTGCCACCGAAACTCAAAGGTAAGTTCTATAGAGCGGTGGTTAGACCACCCATGTTGTATGGGGCTGAGTGTTGGCCAGTCAAGAATTCACATATCCAGAAGATGAAAGTAGCAGAAATGAGGAAGTTGAGATGGATGTGTGGGCACACTAGGCTAGATAAGATTACGAATGAAGATATCCGGGAGAGGGTGAGCGTGGCTCCGGTGGACGACAAGATGCGGAAAGCGCGACTTAGATGGTTCGGACCAAGTAGAGGAGAAACCTAGATGCCACGGTTAGGAGGCGTGAGAGGTTGGCTTTGGCAGGTACGAGAAAAGGTAGAGGGCAACCTAAGAAGTATTGGGGCGAGGTGATCAGACAGGACATGGCACGACTCCAAATTTTCGAGGACATGGCTTTTGATAGGAAGGTGTGGAGGTCAAACATTAGGGTTGTAGGTTAAAGGGTAGTCGAGCGGTTTTCCTCTTTGTCCTGATTTTTATCTTTGTACCAACGAGTATGATAGTGTTTTGTCTAGCAATGCTGACGATTAATGTTGTGCTTCACACTTTTGCATAATATTTGTGTTACTGCTTTTCCATTTATTTGTTGTCTCTCACGTTGATGGTATTATTTACGGGTTTTGTTATCACAAACCTATTATCTCTGAGCCGAGAGTCCCCTGAAAACAACCTCTCTATCCCCTCTGGAGTAAGGATAAAATCTGCGTACACTCTACCCTTTCTAAACCCCACCGATAAAATTTTACTGAATTATTATTATATATATATATAGTTACACTTTACATACAAAAATAAATTTTTATTGAATAAAAAAGTATACCCGTAACCTTCAAATTCTGAATTCGCATTTTCCTATAAGAAAAGAAGAAGCACACACAAAAAGACCATACATGGATGTCTGAGTCATTCCTGGCTATATGACAAAATTTTGAAAAGTGTCGTCCTGTGTTTCCTCGAGCCAAATGAGATATAAAAATAAAAAAAAAGTACTCAAAAGTAAGAAAATAAAAGTGTAATAATTTTGAATATTCAGAAATCGACACCTATAGTTGCAGAAAATTATTTTTAGACCACTGTTTATTTCTATGGCCTATAAAAAAGTTTACACCTTTCTCTATATCCAAGAAATTTCAAGAATGGCCTACTTTTTTTTGTCACTGTTCAAAAGTACAGACTTCAAACCGTCCATATATGACCTAAAATACCTTAGCCCCCCACTTTCGGCTATTAAATAAATAAAATTCCAATTTAACATCTTTTAAAAAACTAATTAATTAATTACAAAAATGTTCCTTTTTAACAAAAAGAAAGAAATTATTTTCAGCAACACTATTTTGCAACTTCACAATCAATAAAATCCAAGAAAAAAAAATATAAATTTATAGAGTTAAACTACTCCAATTAGCAACTTTTTAACCAATAGGGAAATAAAATATTTACTACATATTCTCCAAAAAAGAACCAAAAACTATAAAGTGGAAATGAATATGGCAAAAAATAAACCTAAATATTTCTTGGAATTAACTTTAGAATATTTAGTCTAAACTACTCCATAATTTTTTCACTATCTTGCAACTTCACAATCAATAAAATCCAAGAAAAAAACATATAAAATTTATATAGTTAAGCTACTCCCATTAGCAACTTTTTAACCAATAGAGAAATAAATATTTACTACATATTCTCAAAAAAAAGAACCAAAAACTATAAAGTGGAAATGAAGATGGCAAAAAATAAACCTAAATATTTAGTACATATTCTTAAAAAAGAGAACCAAAAACTATAAAGTGGAAATGAAGATGGCAAAAAATAAACCTAAATATTTAGTACATATTCTTAAAAAAGAGAACCAAAAACTATAAAGTGGAAATGAAGATGGCAAAAAATAAACCTAAATATTTAGTACATATTCTTAAAAAAGAGAACCAAAAACTATAAAGTGGAAATGAAGATGGCAAAAAATAAACCTAAATATTTAGTACATATTCTTAAAAAAGAGAACCAAAAACTATAAAGTGGAAATGAAGATGGCAAAAAATAAACCTAAATATTTAGTACATATTCTTAAAAAAGAGAACCAAAAACTATAAAGTGGAAATGAAGATGGCAAAAAATAAACCTAAATATTTAGTACATATTCTTAAAAAAGAGAACCAAAAACTATAAAGTGGAAATGAAGATGGCAAAAAATAAACCTAAATATTTAGTACATATTCTTAAAAAAGAGAACCAAAAACTATAAAGTGGAAATGAAGATGGCAAAAAATAAACCTAAATATTTCTTGGAATTAACTTCAAAATTTTTATTTTTTTAATCTAAACTACTCCATAAGTAACTTTTAACCACAAGGGAGAGAACAAAAGATTTATACAAAATTTGTGAAAATAAGAAAAAACCAATGAAGGTGATCATTCAAAACACTACCCATATTTTACATTGTGAAGTAAAAGGGTATTTTACAGAACCTAAAAGAGGAACCACTAAAAAAAATTAAATTTTTTTAAAAAAAAAAAAAAAAAAACTAATATGAGATTAAGTAGAAGTGGAAATGGCAAAAAACCAACCTAAATATTTCTTGAAAATTACTTTCAAAAAATATTTTTTCAGGTCCAAACACTCCAAATCTTTTCACCAATAAAACTCACAAACTTTCTAACAGAACCTTTTTCACCTCCCTCTTCTCCGCCACTTTCATCTTCATCGCCGCCGCCATGGTTGCCGGAAATTTCCTCCACCGGGTCGGATTCGCCTGACCCGCTCGGAACAGACCCGTTTATGTTCAAATTTGACTCGGATGATGTCTTTTTTACCTCAACAGAACCGCTACTAATATTAGAGCCTTTGTTTTTATTTCTTCTTTCTTTTTTGCTGTTTTCTTTTTTGCTTTGTAAACCTTCTTCATAAGCATCAAGAATCTCATGAATAAGTTGACGG